CAGGTCCAGGACTCAAACCATGGTCAACTACATGGGAGTCCAGCGACATAGCCATTACACTAACTGCTGTCCCCCATAATTCTTCTTTTTTTTTTTTGGAGAGGTTTTTGTAATAGGGCACATGCGCTCGCCAGACAGAGAGAGAGAGACATAGAGACAGAAAGCGAGAAATCACCCCCCCAGGGGGGATGGTCACACCGCAGTCCCTTCTCTTCCATTCTCCTCTTGGGATCTTGGGCATGCACGCACACATGCCCGTTGTGAGTTTTAAGCCACCGGGTCCAGGACGCAAACTGCAGTCGACTATGTGGGAATCCAGCGACATAGCTATTATGCTAACTGCTGGTTCCCCATAATTATTCTTTTACCATACATTTGTATCTTGATTTCCTTTGGTCTCATTCATCTCACTTTTATTTTATTGAGTCTCCTTTTGTCAATTCAGTTCATTCTCAGAGTAACCAATTATAATGAACGTTTCTAAGTACCACCATGTAGATCACTGATTAAGTCAGTGCACATTTGTCTGAACATTTTCCATCTTTCCCTTTCTCTTTCTCTCACTCTGTCTTGCTACTTTCTGTTTTTCTTTTTCCTTACTTGAAAAAGCGGTTGTCATATACCTCCTATTGATAAAAAACTCAAATCTCAAATTATGTGCTCTGAATGAAACAATACACACACACACACACACACACACACACACACACAGTTTGTGCATACTTTTTAATTATTAGTAACATGGGGAATTAAGTTAATGCTTCATATATTATAGGAGTATCTGATAAATGCTAAAAAACACTTTTGCACATGTTTTTCTCTTTCACACTGGTTTCTAGACTTTCTTGTAAGTAGCTAACTAGGAGATACATAATGTAATGATGAGACACTGAAAAATTCAGAAAGAACACTAATTGTGGGGGATATTCACAATGAATTTCAGGGAGAATAGGAGAGAAAATGAAAAAGAAGCAAATATCTATGCTCTTTCCATAATTTCCTCTGTGAAGAAGGATGAAACAATGGTACTGTCTTTTACTGGATAGAATCAATTCAGAGAGTAAGTTCTCATCCCACATAGTTTGTTCTTCCATAACTAATAAATTGCTTAGACTAGTTTGTCATTTGGTTTCTTCCTCTTCTCTTCTACTTATTCTATATAAAGTTAGAGCTCTCCAACTTCCTATCTTGGGTCTTTTTTGTTCACAAACTATGCAAATTTGTTAGTAAATGCATCTACTTTAAATAAATTAGTTGTAACCTTTTTATGCAAACTCCTGTAGCACTATTTCTTGGTCATATTTCCTCTCTCTCTTCCAGGTACATAGTGTCAGCACATCTTACTAAAATTTTGGTTCTTAACTTGTTTTCTTCAAAAATTGTCTCTGATACTTACTCATCCCCAGAGTGGGTAAAGAAAGTCTTTCCTGCTTAGTTCTAATATTTGGAAAAAACTTCACACATAGATCAATATCCATTTAACTACAATTTTATGTTAGTCAGTTCAATATTGTTTAAAGGGTCATCAATTTTTATTTTTCCCTTGAAATATAAAGATAATATATTCATTACCAAGCATACACTAGTCTGGCCTTCTTGATCTTTCCTAGATTAAAATATATTAGATGTGTTTTTATTATCCATCTTTGTATTTTTAAGAGATTATTTTATTTAAAATGTTATATAAAAGATGACTAGGTTAATTGTTCATGCTATCTTTATCTTAAGCTATAACATCAGATAATATTCATTAGCACAAAATATTTGTGTACACTCAAGAATATGATTTAATATCACTCCTCTATGATTTCATATGACTGAATAACTGATTTACAAAAAATATAAGTTCTACCATTGCAATTACTTTCCTGGGGATTATATCAGATTTATTAAATATGAACTAATAACACTATTCTAGATCTAAATACCAAGAAATCTTTGCTTCCTTTTCTTTACAATTATCTTCTTTGTCCATTTGACCTGTGAGTTATACAAAGACAAATTTGAAGATAAATATCATGAAGTTAATACTTTTTCCTTGTTTTTTGTGTTTCCCTAACAATCTCCTACTTTCTTCCTATCTCATCTTTAAATGTATATATTTTCTTGTGCCAATTTATATTTCACAATTGCATCATACTGTTGTATTTTGCATTGCATTTCCTGGGAATCAAATTCTGAGATGGTGACCAGTGGGTCATAAGTGTACATTATTCATATGTATACTTAGCAGTAAGATCAGGTAACAAGAATGCAATGAAACAAGCTGGTTTTAAACTTTGAGAAAATGTGTTCTGTAATTCAGTTTCTCCATTAGCTTTGCAGAGTGCTCTGAAGCTTGAAGGCTACTTTGAGATGTTCCAAATTGGACCAGGGGCATAAATTTGTATACATCATTATGGGTACAAAAGACAAATTTATGCCAAACAAGTATTTATAATTATTGAAATGAATCACTGACCCTTCCAGCTCCAATAGAATGATATAATCAATTTGTTACCACAGCAGCTTTTTTGTTTTCCTGTGAAATTGTACCAGTTCGGAATCAAGTTGACATTCAGTCAGCCAGCTACATGGTAACATGTGACAACCTATCAAAGTGCAGTCTATGTTGTAGAAACCATGTATGTCTCTCATTCCACACCTGACATCATGGCAGTACCATTCAGAGAACCTACCAGCTATGTGAGATGAAGCACAATATTTATTATAAATGTGCTGGTTTTTATTTAATAAATCACAGAATTAATACCTACAAACCATAGCCAACAGGTAGCATGGTGGTCAGGGCACTGGACTCACAAGGGACAATCACAATTCAAGTCCCTGGCATGCTGGCTTGAAAATCATACTGGGTGCATGTATGTGCATGCCCAAAATTCCAGTACAAGAATAGAGAAGAGATTTGGGCCGTGAACATCTTCTTTGAGGGATTTGATTTCTCACCTTCCCTCTGTCTCTGTCTCTGTCTCTGTCTCTCTGGTGAGCTCACATGCCCTATGGCAAAGAAACTAAAAAAAAAAAAAAAAAAAGAAAAGAAAAAGAATAATTACTGCATACATGTAAATATTTTCCATAATCTTTAAACAATGATGAATGACAGGTTTTTCAAGAATAATAGACTAGCCCTAAATACTCAGGTCATTAATCTTAGAAAATCACTTTATTTTCTCATTAACATATAAACTTTACTCATTGAAAAGCATGATATTCTACGGCAGCTAGAAAATATGCTGATAAGTAGCATGTGCATGGACACATATCCACCCAAACATATAAATGCAGGCTGTCTTTGATAAAGAAAATACCTCCAATGACACATTATAAAATTATAGAATTAAGTCTAATAAGTGTTCATAACACGCATGGCCATCTTTTATATTCTTATGCTCCCTGTATTCCTGTATTTTACCTAACATTTAAAAAGTATTTATTTCACAATTTTCTGTTTTTACTTTATTGCTATAAATATTTGTGTGGTAAAATAAGGTTTAATCTAGGATGCATGCCATGTTTGGCAATCAAATCAAGAATATTACCATGTACTTCATCTTCAACAAAGAAAACTACATTATGTGTGCGTCTTTGATTTTTATCCTATAGTTATTTTTTTAAATACATACATAAGACAGGCAATGCCTTTTATATTCTGCAAACTACTTGTCTTGTTTAAACACATTTTCTACATCTTTTAATAGGTTTTTTTGAGCATTAAAGCATATTTCTAAAGATATGAAATTATCTAAAAATACACTCTCAAGTAGAACTTTCCGTATCTTCTGTCATGATGTGCTCTCATCTCATTGGCCACTATTTCTCATTCCACAACAGTCAGCCTAGACTACCTAACTGAAATAGAAAACATGTCACGCATGCTCTCCTCACTGCTTTTAGTCACATATCACTTCTTCATGCTGTTTGCAACCTCACATTCCAAGCTTGCCTATTGTCTTTGTTTCTCCTTGTCATTATCTCACAGAAATGTTGTGATACAAATTCATAAAACTAAAACGCTGTCTCAGATTTACCAGTATAGCACTCTTCTCTAAGATAATGTTTATAATATCGTAAGCTTCTAATAACATGATGAATTAGTAAAGACCTAATAGTGGAGGTAGAGGAAAAGGTATTGATGTGTAAAATACATGTGAGTTTTCATGATGTTTGATCCTGTAACTATCTGAATGACATTGGTAATGTATTTAAACTTTTAGAGTTCATTGTTTTGTCAGAATTTTTGTAAGAATAGCATAAACAGGGTCCAGCAGGTGGCATAACGGTTATGTTGCTGGACTCCCACATAGTTGACCGCAGTTTGAGTCCTGGACTGGATGGCTTATAAGTCATGCTGGGTCCATGTGCATGTGTGACCAAAATCCTGAGAAGACTGTGGAGGAGAAGGGACTGTGGTGTGGCCATCCCTGCTGGGGGGATGGAAGGCAACTTCTGGCTTTCTCTCTGTCTTTGTGTGGCGAACACACACACCCCCTATAGAAAAAATTCTCTCCCCAACTGAAAAAAAAAAAAAAACACATAGAGTAAACATAAACTTCACAGAGTTTTGTTTGTTTGTTTGTTTTATTTTATTTTTTTGATTGAGATGCTTAAAAAACAAGAAGAGTTTAAAACATGTTTTTATTCAGTACTTGAACATTCTGGAAAAGACTTGGCTGTATTTAAATAGTGACAAAATCATAATCCTTCAAAAGAAGGATGTTTAGAGTAAGAAATTCAACAAGGGAATTTTAGAAAAGGAAAATGAGAAAGAAACAAAATATATCCAGTATTTTTTTTTTAATTTTTCAATTTTGTTACCCAATTAGGATTCACAGCTCCACTGACTGACAAATTCATGGGCACGTATGATATGGAATCAGTTATTCATGTAGAAAATTTCATAAAACAATTAGGTGGAAAACTCAAGCATCTCAAGTAGTGCATATTAGTTTATTTTTATAAGATGGCCAGTGCTGCACAAGAGGAATAAATTGAGGTATTTATCAAGATAGATTTTTTAAACAAAACATTTTTGCCACATGAATGCGGATCTGCTTGGTCTTTGCACCATACACAAGTGGATTGAGAAATGGAGGAACCAGCAAGTAGAAGCTAGAAAAAAGGATATGGATATAAGGGGGGATGTGAGAACCAAACCTGTGTGTGAAGAAGGAGAAGAAGGCAAGGAGGTAAAACTGCAAGAAGACACAAATGTGAGCAATGCACGTATTGAACGCCTTAACCCTAGCCTCCTTCTGGGGCAAACGAAACACTGTGATAAAGATCTGCATGTATGACAATGTGATGAATATCAGGTCAAACCCTGCAACAGTGAAGGCTACAAACAAACCATAGATTTTGTTGACCCTGGTATTTTCTGCAGCTAGTTTCACAATGGCCATGTGCTCACAGTAAGAGTGGGAGATGACATTTGTGTGATAAAACTGAAGCCGACACTTGATCAGGATTAGGCTTGGGGCTACTAGAATGGCAGCCCTGAGGACTGCCACAGTCCCTACTTGGATGACCAGTTGGTGGGTGAAGATGGTGGCATGTCTTAGTGGATAACAGATGGCCACATAACGGTCTAGAGCCATGGCAAGCAGGATGCCCGACTCTGTACATTGAAATGTGTGGATGAAGAACATTTGAAGCAAACATGAATCAAAATAGATTTCTGGTGCATGAAACCAAAAGATTCCAAGCATCTTGGGCATAATGCTGCTAGCAAGTGCAATATCTGTGGCTGCTAGCATGACCAAGAAAATGTACATGGGCTCATGGAGGCTGTGTTCTGATCTGATGATGATTAATAAGAGGAAATTTCCAATTATAGCAAAGAGATACATGACACAGAATGGAATCCCGATCCAGCACTGCACGGATTCGAGGCCTGGTATCCCCAGAAGTGTCAAGATGGAAGGCAGCAAGAGTGTGGTATTAGAAATAGGCATGGTTTCCTTGGGCAGCTGATGTAAACAAAAGAAATGTCTCAGTCAATGCTATTGTTTCTATTCGAGTGAGTCATAGAAAAGTCATGACACATGTTTGTATAGAAAAAAAAAAAACATGAAAAAATACATCATGACTTTTCCCACATATATTCAGTCATATAAAGCATGCCTAGTTGAAGTAGAACTCTAATATTATATATTTCATCTTATTATTGAAGTGAAAGGACAATACCATTAGGTCACATCACTACTTTCAGGGAGGGTGTTAACAAACTCTGCATAAACAAGAGAGTGTATGTGCAGCCAGCAGGCTGACTTCATTAGATACAACTGTACAACTGAGACACTTGGGTAATGTGCTAAGTTGCTGGCCTGTTAACATTCTTTTTGCTTCTCTGGAAAGCAAATTACAGCAAAATCAAACTTGGCTATTCTGCATTAAAGCTGTATTTTTTATAAAACTGCTAGAGGGCTTCTACATCTTAAGAGATAGAGAGAGAAAGTTAAAAAATGAGAGTGTCTCCATGAGGAATGGCCACACCACAGTACTTTTTCATTTTGTAGCATGCACACACATATGCCCAGCATATTTCTCAGGCTACTATGTTCAGGACTTAAGTCTTACAGTCACGTGGGATCCAGCTCCTCTACCACCTCACTGTTTTGAAAACTATATTTTAATCAGAGTTTAACGAATCTGTCCATTCCCCAAAAAAAAACATGAAAAAATACATCATGACTTTTCCCACATATATTCAGTCATATAAAGCATGCCTAGTTGAAGTAGAACTCTAATATTATATATTTCATCTTATTATTGAAGTGAAAGGACAATACCATTAGGTCACATCACTACTTTCAGGGAGGGTGTTAACAAACTCTGCATAAACAAGAGAGTGTATGTGCAGCCAGCAGGCTGACTTCATTAGATACAACTGTACAACTGAGACACTTGGGTAATGTGCTAAGTTGCTGGCCTGTTAACATTCTTTTTGCTTCTCTGGAAAGCAAATTACAGCAAAATCAAACTTGGCTATTCTGCATTAAAGCTGTATTTTTTATAAAACTGCTAGAGGGCTTCTACATCTTAAGAGATAGAGAGAGAAAGTTAAAAAATGAGAGTGTCTCCATGAGGAATGGCCACACCACAGTACTTTTTCATTTTGTAGCATGCACACACATATGCCCAGCATATTTCTCAGGCTACTATGTTCAGGACTTAAGTCTTACAGTCACGTGGGATCCAGCTCCTCTACCACCTCACTGTTTTGAAAACTATATTTTAATCAGAGTTTAACGAATCTGTCCATTCCCCAAGAAAAGATCTTTCTAATCTATGTATACTTTTGACAAGTCCGAGCAAAAACTCCTTGTTTCTTTTAAATAACATCTAAAATTGTATTTTGTCTTTTTCTATATTTCTAGCAAAAGAAATACTTAAAATGAGTCTTGTTCTTAAAATAGATTAACTTATGGGACCAGCAGTTAGCGTAATGGCTATGTTGCTGAACTTCCATGTAGTCAACCATAGTTCGAGTTCCAGCCCCGGTGGCTTAAACTCATGCCAAGTGCGTGTGCGTGCGTGCCCAAGATCCTAAGAGGAGGATGGAGGAGAAGGGATTGTGATGTGGCCATCTCCCCTGGGGGTGATTTCTTGCTTTCTATCTCTCTGGCTCTCTCTGTCTTTCTGGTGAGTGCCTCTAAAAAAAAAAAATAGATTAACTTATGTACTCCCTTTAGAAGAATACCTAGAGAGGAGGTATCCCTAGGAGACAAGACTATGAACAGCACAATGTATGGAATGAGTTCATTTCATAGTCGATCAATTCCTGATCGATTGCATTTACAAAATTCTGGGACTATGAGTAATTAGTCAAAAAGAGCTAGTTTCCCAAATTTAAACTGTTCAGAGCTATCATTAGAATGACTACATGGATCCTGAACTTCAGCCATGAAATAACTTATTTTGTACAGCGTGCGAGCACACTAGGTGATTTTCAATTTTTACTTTTTAAAATTAAAATCTAAAGATTTTATAATTATCTTTTTTCATCTGTTTATTTTATATTTTACTCTTCTTTCCTCTTATCTAATTATTTTTCTTTATCTTTAGTCACTAGTTTCTCAACTCCTATATTTTACTCTTCTTTCCTCTTATCTAATTCTTTTTCTTTATCTTTAGTCATTAGTTTCTCAACTCCTACACACTAAGTGTCTATACAGGTCCAAGTGAACAGGATCTAAATATCTGAATATGATTAGGGTCAGAATTTTCTTTTATTCCCACTGATTCTGATGCACAAAGAGTGAAAACGGAACAGAAGAGAGATTGCATATCACCACCTCCTGCATGGCTCTGAACGCTCAGACTGAACTTAAAGAATTAGGGAGAAACACACCAGCCATCAGATGATTAGAAATTACCGCAGAGTCACAAGAAATATGGAAAAACAAGAAAATCCCTCTCCTCCATGGAAAAATAGTAACTCCTCTTCATCTTCAGACTGTATGATGAAATTCATGGAAATGGAAGATAAAAAATTTAGAATTTTCATGGTAACAATACTCACAGAGATTGAAGAGAAGAGAGACATAGAACTGACAAAGAAGCAGGGGAAAGAAGCTAAAGAGCTCCGAGAGGTGAGGAAATTCTTGCAAGATCTAAAAGAGGAAATTCACACTATAAAAAAGAATCAAATAGACCTGTTAGAGATGAAGACTATAATACAAGAAGTCAAAACCTCCCTTGAAAGTATTAAAAGCAGACTACATCATACTGAAAATCAAATCTCATATGTAGAATATAGAATCCCTGGCCTATAAGAATCCACCACAAAGACGGAGAAAATTGCCCCCCAAAAATGAGAATAATGTACAAGAAATACTAGAAATACTAGATACCACCAAATGTCCAAACATCTGGATAACTGGTATCCCAGAAGAGGAAGAGACTCATAAGGGCATTGACAATCTATTCCATGAAATCCTGCAAGAAAACTATCCAAACTTAGAGAGGCATTGAAAGATCCAGACCCAGAAATACAAAGGACCCCCAATAGAGCTAACCCAAGAAGATCTTCTCCAAGACACATTATAGCCAGATTGACCAATACCACAGACAAAGACAAGATACTATGACTGGCAAAAGAGAAACATCTAGTTACCAACAAAGGATATCCCATTAGGCTGACAGCGGATCTCTCATCAGAAACAACGCAAGTGAGGAAAAATGAGAAAATATTTTCAAAGCGTTAAGGGAAAAGCAATTTCAACCAAGAATACTGTACCTAGCAAGGTTACCCTTCATATTGGAAGAAAAGACAAGAACAATCTCAGATAAATAAACCTGAAAGAATTTACCAACAACAGACCAGATCTTCAAGAAGTTCTGCAAGGAGTGCTATACCAGGAAAATTAAATACAGTCACACAGAAATAAGAGTTCAAAAACAAATGGCCAACCTAATCATAATGACACATCTGGAGTCATATTACATCCCAGAATATTATCGGGAACATTGGACCACAACAGAAAATAGATTAAGTACATGAGACTGAACTTGTGTAATAGAATTTTATGACTTTTGACTAAAACATTGCTTATTTTATTCTAGGTTTTATTTTCCTTTTAAGGATTTTTGTCCTGTCTTAAGCTGCTTATAGATTCATGCACCTACTGTTTGAACACACTATCGACCTGTTTCCTGGATTTAAGTTTTAAGCATAGTTCCTTAGCATTTCTTTGATTTATTAAAGCTAAAACTACTTTTCTTGAATTTAAAAAATATAGTAAAAAAATACATAATTAACGATTGTAGTAAACATCAGCTAGGTGTTACCTTATAGTATATTCATTCTACTCAGAATTTCATGCCTAAAGTCAGACATGTCTTCATAGATATGTATGTATCAGCTGAACTTGCTATTGAAAGTACTTATATTACTTAAGAAATTTTGCAAATCAACAAAATGTAGGGGGCAAAGGAATGGAAAACTGACATAGTGTGGGAGAAGGGTGGGAAATGGCAGAAGGAGAGAAATAGGGAGGAAATGAACTTACACACACACACACACACACACACACACACGTATATATGAAACTAGAAATGGAAGAATTATTGATGATAACATGCATGATTAAGCCACTATGCAGTATATTCTGGATGGGGAATCACATTTTGTATGTTGTGACAATGCTCAGTGAATGAATGTCAATTAATTAAAAATGAAAAAAAATATTTTTTTTAAAAAATAATGAAATTGGGTCAGTATAGACTCATTAATTCTTGATGTAATATAAGTAATTGGAAGACTTGTGTAGTTTTTTGAGTGAACCAACTAGGAAATAAAGGCTTGAAGGATAAATGAAAGGAATCAAATATAGAACTGGACAGGTAAAACAAAGAAAAGACTTGCAGGCACCAGAAATATTTCAGAAAAAAGTTGTAAAGGGACCAGAAGTTGGCATAATGGCTATGTCACTGGACTCCCATGTAGTCTACCATGGTTCGAGTCCCAGACCCGGTGGCTTATATTCACACTGGGCACACGTGCATGCATTCGCAAGATCTCCTAAGAGGAGAATGGAGGAGAAGGGATTGCGGTGTGGCCATCTACCCTGGGAGGTGATTTCTCGCTTTCTGTCTGTCTCTCTGTCTGTCTCTCTGTCTTTCTTGTGAGTTCACATGCCCCTGTAGCAAAAACTTCTCAAATAAATAAATAAAGTAAAAAAATAAATAAAGTAAAAAAGAAAAGAGGTGTAAATAAGTGAAGAAGACTTCATCAACTATGGAATTTTCTGAAAACTAGAGTGTTCATATCTTACAAAATTTTTCTGATCAAAATCATCACTTTTAAAAATTACTTATTTGAATGCAAGAAATCTGAAGAAATACATGACAGAAATTTTTGTGATTCTGTGAATAAAAAGATCAAATTTTATCCCATTCGTTTTCAGACTTCCCAGTGAAGTTGCTTTGGTTAGCAAATGCATATGTTAGC